TCTGGTCTTCTGTTCTGGTACGCGCGTTTGTGACAAGATGAAAAATGATGTATCAAAATTGACGACTTTGAAATAATGATGATGATGGAAAGATTGTCACACAAATGGCCACACTAAAAATTTTCTTTTTTAGCCACAAATTAAACATTTCATTTGTTTGAAATGAGAAAAAAAAATTCTCGAAAAATTCTCTTTAGTTTTTCCAATTCAGAAAGTTCTGCATTTTGATTATTGAAAATATACATTGGACATCCATCCAGAACGTATTTTTGTAATTATCGGTTATAAATGGAACAAAAAGTTTCACAATTTCGATCGATCAAAGAGAAAAAAAAATTTTTTTTATCTCTCATTTCTCGATTATTATAATTATTAAATTTTCATCATTTCATTTTGGTGATTAAATTTTTTTTCCAACCACCCCCCCGTCCCAAAAAAGCAATCATTATCATAATTGTTGTACTGGTTGCCATGTCGAATTTACAAATTTCAATAAGAAGATAATTTATCCACAGAATGTTGCTCATCATCATCATCATCACATTTTAAGAAAAATCAACAAAAAAATTGAAATTCCAAAAAGTTTTTCAAGCGTAATTTTTTTTTCTATATTCATCTCTTCATCATCATCGTAGAGATTTCATTTGAATTGTTTTGTTTCGAACAAAGAAAAAACTAAAGTTTCTCAAAAAACCAAGCCAAACCAAAAACATTATAACAATTTTCATGATATGAAGATGATGATCATATAATCACGAATTGTCAAGAATTAAATTTTTTCTATTATTCTTTGACTCTGTTCTGTTCCTGGAACAAAAAGTTTATTTGGCTTCATTATTTTTGATTATGATGATGATGATGATGATGATGGTTCTTTGGTTATTTTTTACGTTCAAGACCGATTATGATAATGATGATGATAGTACTTCAAAATGGTTTTTTTTTCTTCAACGTTCCAGAATCAGTATCATATGATGATGATGATATGATGATAGCAAGCAAGCGGCAAACAAACAAATAAAATTATCTTTCTCTTTGAAACAACAAAAACCAGAAAATTTAAAAAGGGTTAAAAGTTTTCTAGTCAAAGAGTGTATCTTCTTCGTGTGTCTGTGTTTTTAATATTATGTTTTTTTTCGCCATTATTTACCATTCACGACCCGAGTTAAAAAAAATGTTTATCGTATGGTAGTGGAATTTATAATTTGATTACCACGAAACATACATACACACACACATACATGTTTCGATTTGAAGAATTTTTTTTGTTTAAAACGTCGTCATCATCGTTGATGTTGTTGTTTTGGTTATCAATAGTCTTGGCACGTTGTCGATGGATGAATCTTGTTGTTGTTGTTGTTACATTTAAATTTTATTCCAAAAATAAGACAACGACGAAAAGAAAAAAAAGTTTTCTTGTTTAATTTTTTTCTGGTTCTTCTTCACTTGTTGTTTGCATCATTATTATTGTTATACAACAAGAAGAATTTCGTCACATATGAATACAATTTCAGCCAAGGATTACAAGAAAATTTTGCAATTGAAATTCTGAACTAACGCAGAGTAATGCACTTTTACATTTTTATGTGAAAATAGCTACAATGTTTAATTGTAATTAAATTCTTCTCATCATCATAATCTTGGATTTTTATTTTTATTTACCCTTTTTTTCTGTCCATTATGACATTACATAATATAATGGACTTGAAATTCAAGAGTAAATTTGAAAATGTAAATTTTCTTCTTTCTATTGGTTTCTGTGTGTGTGTGTGTTTGTCACTGTGTGTTTGATGCTTTTAAAATGATTAAATTACTTCAAACCACTGAACTCATGATGATGAAATTTATTGGAATTTATTTTCTCTCGTCGATGTCGTTGATCATTTGATTGCAAATCTTTTAAATTTTTTCAATCGATGAAAAGTGAAAAAAAACCAATTCTACTCCCACACACACACACACACACAGACAGACACACACAATTCAATCACAAAATTCAAGTCTTTTTCTTATTTCCATTGAATGATGGTGAATAATTTTCAAATTAGACTAATTTAACTTTTTTTTTGAATCAAATTATTAGACAAAATTTATAAAGTTTGAAGAAAAAAGTAAAGAAAAGTACAAATTATTCGTATTGTTCGTGACTAAAAAAGTGAGTGAAAACGAAAATTCTTTGCTTTGAATCTATTCAATTAATCAATGTGTAGAATTTCAAGAAATGCAAAAATGGAGGAAAAAATGCCGTTAATGAAATTAATTCAATATAACTTTACTTGACAATAATCAACCGAGAGAAATCGTCTGATGGTTAGTTGACAAACGAAACACAATATTGTTTCTTTTCAATGAAACAAAAAAAATCCAATCTGGACCATGTAATTTTGATTTCAAAATGTTCCAAAAACAACTACAACAAAATAGAAAAAAATACATGATGATTGCATAAAAATCTTTGTACAATTAATCTTAATTTCTATCCATCTTTTCATTTATGGAACAACAGCAATGGCCACCAATGACATTGGCTAAATCAACATTTGTGCATATTCATTCATTTTCATCTTATTTTGATAATTGTATTTTCTTGATTTTTTGATAATGATTATGGTGGTCATCGAGAAGAAAAAAAGAAAATAGAAAAAAAACTTGTCATCAAATCCGCCTGTGTATTGTATGTATTTTGTCGGCTTTTGAATAGAAAATTATAATGTTTGCCGGAAGAATGAGAGAGATTTCTCTCTCTCTCTCTCTTTTTTTTGGTGCATGTCGTCACCAACCAATTGACAAAAGAAACGAAAAAAAAACAAAATCCAGATTATAGCTGGAACTAGTAAGAAGAACAAAATTTGCATCCCGTAAGCACAAACACACAAACACACACACATTGGTTGTCATTGATAATGATAATAGTGTGCATGTATGTAAAATGAAAAAAAAAAAAAAACAAAACAGAAAAACGAATGAACAAATTACAGGTTATCCTTTTTTTTGTTTTTCATATTTCTTTCTCTCTTTTGTGTAAAGAATGAATGAAAAGACGGCAAACTCTATGGACTTTTTTTTCATGTTGGTGACATTGTTATCAATGTCGTCGTTAGCAGCAATGGAAAATGATATAATGTTATTGTCCACCGATGATGATGACGAGACAATGATCATTCAAGATGATGATGAAAACATTCATTAATGAATTAACAATTGAATGGAATATGTGTGGATAAATAACAAAAAAAAACTCGAACAAGTAGCAATGAATGGAAAAAAATAGAATATCCAAAGAAATGATTAGACATAAATTAAAAACCTTTAAATATATCATTAACATCATCATGATGATGATCATCATCATAACTATAGTGGATGAATGATGGACAAATCGTTTGGTTGGCTGAGCTTTTTTTTTAGGCACTGGTTTTTGGATTTTTTCCCGCTCTTTCTCATTCATTATTATTATTATAATGATAATAATGATTCAATGAATTCATTTAGGTTTCAACTAATGGAAAAAAGTATACATTTCCCGTAAAAAAAAGCGAATAAAATGAAAGAAAATTCATCATTTTCTTGTCGAAAATTGTCTTGTTAACGCTAAACAATCATTGACAAATGATAAATGATAAATGAACGAACGACAACAACAACAACAAAAGGAATTTTGAATAATTTCTAGAAAATTTTTCTATGAGAATCACAGAAAAAAAACATAATTTCAAATTGTTTCAAAATTTTGTCTTTTAAAGAAAAAAAAAAAAAACAAGAAAAAATCATTGATCTGTTACAATGTTTTTTTTTTTGATTTGGTTGCGGTTTTTTTCTGGTATTAAAATCTGCAACAGCAAAAGCATCTTATCCGCAACACGCAACATCTGTTTCAAATTCTTTCTATTTTTTTCTGTGGTTCATGGTTCATCGAAAAGAATGGAATCGTATAGAATAAATAAATTCTTTTCACAATGATCATTTTTATTTCATACACACACACATAGATATGCATTTAGAATGTGAATGATATTTAAATTTTTTTGTTTCGTTTTTCAGGTTCTGCTGTTATTGTTGTCGTTTCATTATATCTTGGTGTCATTTCCAACTGGTGTTGAGGATGATCAGATGTGTTCGATCATCTAAAATTCGGATCGAATCGATTGAATCGAGGGAAAAGATTTTTTTTTTGTTTTGTTTTTTGAATGGGAATTTTTTTTCTGTCGTTGTTCGGTTCGGTTTTTATTTGAATAAAATTTAAATTTTCCAGATTTTTTTCTCTTTTCACAATTTGGATTTTCAATCAATATCAATATCAGTGTCATATGTTTGTGATTTAGAAAATCAGTTTCTTCTTGGATGAGAACACAACATTTTCAAAAATTGAAAAAAATTCAAATTTGAACCATGTAGTGTCATCTATCGGAAGAATTTTGTTTTCATGAATTTCAAATTTTCAAAATTCATATAATCTCACCATATTATTCCAATCGATCGATAATCGATATAATTGATATTGAGAAATTAATCTAGAAAAATATAATGGACAACGGACAAAAATCAATGATAACCGATAATTATACTGTATCGGAAAATTTAAAAAAAAACAACAGAAACGTTTTATTTTATTTTACGTAATAATAATCGACGATAAGTAGACGAAAACAAAACAATTTCAAAAAACAAAGGGTCACAAAACACACTGGCTATCATTTGTCCATGAAATGATTAGTTAACAATAGTGAACATTATAATTATTATCATCAAACGGATTGAATAATATAAAAAAATAAACGGATTACAAATTCAAATTACAAACCTAATTTTTCAGTCGATGTCAACATGTCTGATAATTTATAATCAAATTGTTTAAAAAAAAGAGAAAATTTCAATCATTTGGTTCGATATAAAATGACCGATCGATTGATTGAATCGAAATCATTCACAGCCATTCATCGATTCAACATTGTTTCAACGAATTGATTTCAATTTCTGATTTTCTAAAATCAAATGTTCAGAGTATGTCTACAAATATGGTGGTTAACTATTGTCAATTTTTGATTCATTTTTTTCCATCAACAGTTACTAATTTTGGCTAGTTTAGCCATCATGGCCTATGGTTCACATTATGGCCATCATTATCATCATCATTCGGTACATTTACCTGTCCATTCCAAACATCATGTAAAATATTACCACGTGCATGGACATCATCAAATACATCCAATACATGTCGAAGGTAATACATAAAATTTTTTCTAAATATTACCAATAATCGATACTAATATTCTTTTACCAAATCATTCATTCAGTCGAAGCACATGCTGTACCGATACATATGACATTCAAATCAAAATCATCACATCTTTCCGTGGATCAACATCATGAAAATGCTGGTGGATCACATAAAGTATCACATTCTGAAGGTCAGTTGATCAATGGATCATTCAGATTATCTAATTTTTTTATGAATTAACTCGATCAATAGATGAACCACATTATCTGAAACATTACGTGAAAAAACCGGTTTATCAGGAAGTAAATGAAATCATTACACCATACCGGAAAATTACACAGAAAATCGAGCCCGTACATGAAGAAATTGAAACTTTGGTTGCAAAAAAACATCATGATTATCATGAAGATGAACATCATTATGGTCATCATTATGGATATCATGGCAGTAGCGGTGGTGGTGGTGGTGGTGGTGGTAGCAGCGGAAGTGGTGGCGGTGGTGGTGGCGGCGGCGGCAGTGGTGGTTTTGGCGGTGGTGGTAGTTTTGGCGGTGGTGGTGGCGGCGGTATTGGCCGTTAAAATATTCCTGCATTTTGAATGCAAATATTTACACATCCACACATTCATACATGACAATGAAATGTTTAGAATTTCCAGATTTCTTCTCTCTTTGGATTGATCGAATGAATTGACAAGACATCCGCGTACACCCAAATACCAATTAGTACCAATCACGCATACACACATAAACAAACACACACACACACACACACTATCTGATTGATGAAAATTTGGAATACAAATAAAAAATTTATTTTTCACGCACTGAAAAAAAATGTTTTTCTTTTTGGAAAAAATTTTAATTATCATTTACCGAAAAACGATTATGATTTAATATCATTTCACCGATTGTCGCCACAAATTTAAATTTCACAATACAAAAAGAGAAATTGTCAACTTTTTGTGAAATTTTCACCCTTATATAAACTGATTCGAAATGATTCAATTCAAAACATCCGACAATCAATCGGCAAAAAAACATTTTTTTCATCAACAGCAACAATGATCAAAGTAAGTTTCAAACTTTTAAATATTTTGTGAATTCACTACTTCTCACACACTTTACAGTTTTTAATTCTTATCGGTTTATTGACATTGATGATGGCCATCAACAAAACAACGGCTGATAATAAATATCATCATAATCATTATTCGATACATTTACCGGTCAAGTCTAAACATCATATCCGATATTATCATTCAAAATCACATCATGATTTACATCCAATTCACGTTGAAGGTATGTAAAACATGACAAATTTCAACCACTTTTGTATTTACCTATTTGTTTATTTTTCTCTGTACACACACACACACACACACAGTGGAAGCGCATGCCGTACCAATACATATGAATTTCGAATCAAAATCATCACATTTAATGGTCGATCAACATCATAGTGGATCAAAACATGGTACAAATAAAATATCACATTCAAAAGGTTCGTCAACTTTAATTTATAAATGCCAATTTCAATTAGCCATAAATTTCATTATCATAGATGAACCACATTACTTGACACATTATGTGGATAAGCCAGTATATCAGAATATTTATGAAACAATTCGACCATATCGCAAAATTATACAAAAAATTGAGCCTGTAAATGAAGAAATTGAAACAATTGTGGCTAAAAAACATCACGATGACGATTATGGTTATGGTCATCATAATGAAAATGGTGGTGGCAATGGTTATGGTCATGAAAAACAAGATGTCCATTATAACGATAAAAGCGATAATGATAAGGAACATTATTATGGACAATAAATATCATCATCAATCGATTCAAATTCAATTAAATGGCAAAATTTATTTATCCATTAAAAAAGCATTTATTTAAACCATTTAATAGAGAATAAAATTCTTAAATTCTCAATTTTTTGCGTTGAAAATCAAAAAAAAAAATATTTCATCCACATTCTGACTATCCAAAACAACAACAACAACAACCGAACCCGAAAAAAATGACAATTTTTTTCAAACATTTACATTGACATTTATCATTTTTTATTTTATTTTTTGGCAATGTCCTAACAACAACGAAATCACAAATAATGATGATAAGTATAGTTTTCAAGATGAGGATAGTGTAATAATAAGTGGCCCAATCATTTTTTTTTTTTTTTTTTTGACCATTTATTCATCCATTCGTTGACATAAGAGAGAAAAAAAAAGTTAATTTCGATAATTTGTCCATCATCATATTACCCGACTATTTAGGCTGAGATGATTCAAAATAAACTCAACATAAAAACACCACTCCTGTTTTGTTGTTTGTGATGAAACATTTTTATTTATCTCTCTCCTCCCCCAGCACTTTTTTTCTTGTTTGACAATAAATTATTTTGATGATCACTGTACTACTTGGCTACTAGGTCTTTATCAATGTCAAAATGTTTCATTTTTTTTTGCTTTATTTGACTAATAAATCAACTTTGTTTGTATGAGAGTTTTTTTTTTGATGACAACATGATATGATGATTATCATGATAATCAAGGATAAAATGAAAAACCATTGTTTTTTTTGCTGTTTTTTTCTGTTTGTTTATATTTATAAAATAAATAAATGTATCCAGTACTAGCAGTTGTGAATAGATTGGTCAAATTTCAAATGACAAGTCATTGTTTTTTTTTTTTGCTTGGAACCATTTACTGAAACTACTGATGGACAACAACAACAAAATTTTTCTCTTCGTGGTTAATTGACCAACCATCAATTTTTTTTCTCGTTTTCGACCAGAATATTCAACCAAAATGGACAATGGTTTTTAATTGATCAATTACAGTGTTTTTTTTCTCTTTGCCATATTTATAAATTGCACAACACACACACACACACACACACAAAACAAAAACAAAAAACAAATCAAATCATCAATTTTGTAAATGAAAAAAAAACTAGATTCTAGAATCAAATGAAAAAAAATATCCAAACAAAAATGACTGACACTTGACATATCCTAGAGAGAGAGAGAGAGAGAGAATGAAAAAGAATATTTCTCTTTTCATGAATCAAATCGACTTTTTTTTCTGCCACAGTAATAATCAAACTTAATTGTCGACTCATTTTCATTTGATACAATGTGTTTTTCTCTATAAACAATATATATCTATATGAAAAGAAAATAGCTCAAGTGGAAATCGTTCAACATTTGCAGTTTGAATTTATTTTATTTTTTTTTTTTTTTTGACCGCCGCTGCCGCTACTAACAAAAAATGTTTTTCCACCATCTCATTTCTGTTTTTTTTTCTTGTCTTGTTGACTAATTTATGATGACAGCTTAGTAATTACAATTATACAATAATAATAATAATAATTTAAAACAATCGTCTTTTACTTTGCTTTTGATCATTGTTTCTTTCGCCCTCACTCTTCATCTTCTCGTCATCGTTATTTTGTTATATAACAATTCAAGGTTTCTTTCCATTGTTCATCATCGACGACATTTCCAAAGATAATTAATTAATAATAATTTTCTTCAAAAAAAAAACTTGCAAAAATCCAAATCAACAACAACAACAACAACAAACAAATCTTGTTGTTTGTATTATAATGACATTTTGTTTCTTTTTGAATTCGAGAAAAAATTCACGCTAATTGTTCCTTTGGTTTCTTTTCTGGTTGATGTGTGTGTTTGTGTGTGTGATTTGTCGATGACAGCTCTCGAGTATCATCATCATCATCATCCACAATAACACTGACAATGACAACAACAACGTTTCATTCTGTTTTTTTTTTTTTTGAAAATCGTAGTAAAATAATCACGAGCGTGATCTAATCAAATCTATCATATACAGACACCATAGATCTACTCAAAATATAATGTGAAAACAATGACGTAAAGGACAAAAAAAATCAAATTCGGTTATTAGCAATTGGGAAGAAAAAGGTTACAAGTGATAAACACAATAATAATTTATCATTCAATCTCATTTCAGGTCGAAAGGTTAGGTCACGTGAGGTCATGTGAAATTCTTTTTTGTTTTTTGAAAAAAAACCATAAACATTTTTTTCTATTTAAAAAAATTAATGTTTCTAATTATGGAAAAATTTTAAATTTTTTCTGGAAATTTCAATGTAAAAAATTCAGATAACTGAAAAAATTTTCTCGAACGATGCCGCCATGTGTGTCTCCTGATGATAATAATAACAATAATGATGATGATGATGATAAAAATTTGTAATAAAATGTATCCACCAGGAGATATGATTATTTTTTTTTGTTTGGAACCATTTTATCGTTTTGCAACGAAAGAAAAAAAAAGATTAGATGATCATTCATTCATTCATTGTATTTTGTATTGGATTTTATTCAATTTTATTGAATTGAATATCGTGTGCGATGGCGCCCATTTATTTACAAACAAACAAGAAAGATAAACGAAAAACATCATCATCAGACAAAGTTTTCCAACAGATGATAATAATTGCCATTATTATCGATTTTATTTTAAGCCATTTTTATTTATTATGGATGGAATATGAAATAAGAAAAAAAAATAAATTCATTTTAATAGATGCCTCGAAGTTATTATCTTGTTCTTGTTCAAGAATTATATTATGAATGCAAAAGATTAAGAATAGGCCCATTACTTATTATTATTATTATTATTATGGGTTTTATACATAACCAGAATATTCACCATTGGAACAACGCAAAGAAAAACGCTGTCTCTATCGCTATGTGTGTGTGTGCGCGAGTAACATTGAACAAATTCCTTAATTGCACCCGATTGGTTTATATATTTGGCCATAATAATAATAATAATAATGATGATGATGGTTAATAGCTAATCATTTTCTTCGGATAAAATACTTGTGTGTGTGTGTGTTTTAAATGTTTTTTGAATGCAAATTTCGAGATATTATTCCAATGTTGTTGTTGTTGTTGTTGGTGTTGTTGTTATTGTGGCTTGAAAATAAAATGGAAATGTTTGTGGAAAAAAAATGTTACAAATAGTGTAGCAATTGGTCCCCGATAGACCAATAAAGATTATGTGGAACAAAAATTTTTTTCCATTGTATAAATACGAGTGGACGATTCTATTTTTTCAATTTTAAATGTTTCAGTAAAATAAAATCATCATTCTCTCTCTTTCCTGAATAATAATGATAACGAGTGTGCCGTGGAAAAAATTAATTAAAATTTATGCAAATTACAACAACAACAAAAAATTTCATTCATTCACTCATTCATTGTTTATCATCAATGGAATGTTTTTTTCCTCTCGAATCAAATTCCTATCCATTTCATTACAATGATGACTATTACCCGGATAAACAAACGATGGCGGCTAGTTACAATTGACAAAAAAAAAAAAAAATTAACCCACATGAGACCTTAATCGATCAAACAAAGTTTTTCAAAAATTGTAGCAAATACAATCTACTCTGTGTGTAGCAGATGTATTCCTTTGACATTCCTGCAGTATTTGTTTTGTTTTTTTTCCAATTCAAACTATTAAAAAGGGTGCATCTCTGAGAGAACCGGATATTTTCTTTGTTTTACCGAGA